GGATCGAGGGAGTGCTTGCATAACATCAAAAGGCAATGACCAAGTATGAGCAAACCTTGAATAACTTAAAAACGATCGAGCAATTTATCATGAAGCTATAACCAATGGTGTAGTCTTGACGGACATGCCAAAAATGAAGTACCAAGGTCATGACACTACATTGGAAACCAAAAGGCGAAAAAGGTAGTGAATTTCATTGAGGGCGATTTCTCTCCCTCAAGCTAGTACCAAACAAGCTATTCTAAAAATCTTCTTTCAATCATTATACCCTAAAAGAAGGCTAGTTTCAAGGGTGCATGCCTAGTAGCTATGAGTCTAAGATCAAAGGTAGTTTCAAAAACAAGTTCTTTGATGGTGTTACTCTAACCTCATAACTCGTTAAAAAGGTAAAGTTTCACATTAAAATCAAATTCTAAAGGATAAAGCTTTCCTTTTTATCTCACAAAAGATTCTACTCTCAAGGAAGTTGTTTATGCATTATACCTTTAAAAAAAAGCTTAGAAAGCACGAGACAAGTTACAAATGTTGAAGCATACGAGAATTATTCACAAGTATGTTAGAAAATATATCTCTCTTAAACTTCAACTACATAACAAACCTAACTATGATCATATATATAACTTTATTAAGGAATTTCAATGATGGGCTCGAAAAAAGATGTGATGTCGGTGGTGTAACACCATCACTAAAGTTGTGGCTATAGTGACATCCTTATTAGAATATAAGAAAAAAGTGAAACCTATAAACCTAAAAAAGACATCAAAGCTAAAGATGGAGGAGTTTAAGAAAAAAGGGGTATAAAGATGGGTATGAAAGAGGATGCAAGTCTAAAAGTTTTTCCAAAGATAAAAAGGAATTCAAGCCCAAGGATTGCTAGTTTTGTAATAGACCACATCAATGGTGAGAGTGCATTAAATGACAAGCCCTTGATTCTATAATGGAAAAGAAAGACGTGCTTCAAAGCATGAGAAGCATATGGATTCATTGTAGTTGCTCGGTGCCACTAAATATTAAGCCCTCACCAAAGAAATCATCAAAGAATGGGTTGGTGTATCTAGATATAGGTGGTAAAGTCATCCTTTTCATACTAGACACGGGTGCCACACATAAATCTATGGTTAAAATCGAGGTCACGAGACGTGTTGTGGTGATGACCATGTTATCTAACGAGCATAAAAATGATGAGTGATTCCTATAAACCTACTAGTGGCATGACACATTGGATAATTCTTGCCACTGGCACATAAAAGGGGACGTTAGATTTTACGATCATTGCAATAAATGAATTTAAGATGGTATTAGGTATGAAGTTCTTTAAGCAAGCCAAAGTCATGCCTACACCACACTTGGAGCATATGGTAATCTTAAAGAAAGATACACCAAGCATGGTGTTAGGTAAGGTATATAAAAAATAAGATATGAAGCTTTTTTATATATACGGGTATAAAAAAGCTTCAGAAATGAAAAGTCGCCTACTTAGCAATATTGAGAGAGGATGGATCGGTGGAAAAAGATGGTGCTAAAATACTTAAGGAAATTATCAAGGTATTGGTTGATTTTGATGACGTGATGCCATTAAAGTTAACAAAAAAGTTACCATCTAAAAAAGAGATTGATCATTATATCAAGTTGGTGTATGGCACTAAACTACCAACCATTACACCTTATGGATGGCTTCTTTTATGTTGAAAGAATTAAGAAAAAAATTGAAGATCATGTTGGAGGCAAGATAATCCAACAATCTAAATCTCCTTATGATTTACTTGTATTGTTATAAAAGAAGCATGATAGATTGCTAAGAATATGCATTAACTATCGGGCGTTGAACAAGCTCACGATAAAAAACAAATATCCAATTTTGGTGATAATAGACTTACTCGACCGGTTAGGAAAAACTCAATTCTATACCAAGCTTGGTTTGAGATTAAGGTATTATCAAGTTCAAATTGCTACCGAATGTGTGCCAAAGATAATATGTGTGATAAGATATGATTTTTATAAACTTCTTATTATGACATTTGGTCAAACTAATGTCCCGACTATCTTTTAGACCTTGATGAATAAAGTATTTTACTTATGCCTAAGTCGGTTCGTAGTGGTCGTATGATGATATTATGATCTATAGCTCGACTTAAGAGGAGCAATAGACCATTCATATACTTTTTTTTAGGAACTAAAAGAAAATAATTTGAACGTAAAAAAAAAAAAAAAATCCACTTTTGCAAAAGAAAAAGTAATTTTCTTAGGACATAAGGTTCAAAGTGGAAGGTCGATGATGGATGTGACAAAGGTTAAAGATATCTCAAATTGGATAGAACTAACCAAAATGCTCGAAGCTTTGCTCTTTTCTCGAGTTACTAAACTACAACTATCACTTCATTTATGACTATTCAATGAAGTTGAACCCTCTCATTGACTTGTTAAAGAAGAACAAGATATGAGTAGATTGATTAATGCCAAGAAGCTTTTGAGGAGCCGAGGAGAACTGTTATTGAGAAATCGATATTAAGTTTCGTAGATCCAACCAAGCCATATAAGGTATATACTAATGTCTCTAATTTTACTATAAGTGGTGTGTTGATGTAGAAACCATCTTATAGCCTATGAGAGTTGGACATTGAATAACATCGTATGTCAATATACGATGCAAGAAAGAAGAAGACTATGGTGGTCCATTACTATTACAATAGTGTATTGCTTACATAACTACATGTAACATCCATTAGTGTTTTGATTTTATAATGAATATTGATAATGTAGTCATGAGCTATTTTCAAATTCAAAAGAAACTAACATCAAAGTAAGCTTGTTGGCAAGAATTCTTTATTGAGTTGACTATTCCTTTGACTATAAACTAAGTAAGGCCAACGTAGTAGCGGATGCTCTTAGTAAGAAAGTTGAATTATGTCACATAATACGAGTAGATGGAGAGATTGTGGCTAGGATCAAGAAAGGAATAAAGCATGATCTTATCACCAAGAGTTTTATAGCCTTTGCTTAAAAGGATAAAACTTGAAAGTTTTGAGAAAAAGATGACATTCTCTATATATAAAAAAAAAAAGGAGAATCTATGTTTCTAAGTGGAAAAAACTTACAACAAGACCTAATGAAAGAATGTTATGACACTATATGGGATAGATGTCCGGGACAACAACATACTAAGGCATTATTAGAAAGAGCATACTTTTGACTATAATTATGGGATGATGTGAAGTTCTATGTTAGGATATATCTTATGTGCCAGCAAGAAAAAATGAAAAATCAAGTGTTTAAGGAATTATTATAGCCTCGCCTATCACAAAGAGATCATGAAAGATAATAACTATGGACTATATTGTGGCATTACATATTATCACGATCGTGGATAAATTCTTCAAATATGTAACATTCATACCGAGTCTCGGTAGATGTGATGATAAAAAGCACCACCAAATTACTCTCTAAATATATGATAAAATATCGGGTTATGTCATGATATATTATTAGTGATTAGTGATCGAGACTCTTGATTCACTAGAAGTTATTGATTGAAATTATTGAACTACTAGGTTTAAAGTTGCATTACTCTACGGTTTTCACTCATAAATAAATAGACGAGACCATAGAGATTAATACATTACTGGAGACATACTTGATGCACTTTGTGAGTGTCAATCAATGAGATTAAGCTAAGTTACCGAGATGTTGACCAATTTCTCTTATAGTTTTTAGAGGAGTGAGTCTACTAGTAACGATCCATTCAAGAGATTGATCGACCAACAACCTTTACTCTATATATAGTGATGTTTGGTGACAAATACCAAGAGAGAAAATATAATGTATAATCATTGGCTAAAAGATGGTAGGAATAAACAAACTCAACACATAAGTATTTCAATAAAGTTCGTTAAAAAATGAAGAAATAGGCTAACAAGAGACGGAGGGATGTGAGCTTCAATCGAGAGATAGATTGATGGTGAAGTTGATATCACAATAACACAAAGCCTTTCAGAAGTGCACGAGGGCTTGATATACCGATACGAAAGATCGTTTGAGGTAATGCATAAGTTAAGAGATGTGTTCTATTACCTAAAGTTATCACCAAAGCTAAAGATTCACCTAGTTTTTCTTTTCACGTGAGTATGTTGAAGTCGTACCACATGAATAATAAAGAACTAAACCAAAGAGAAAGTACTTATGGTAGTGATTGGCTCATATGATAAAGAAGTTGATGTCATACTTGATGACCGCACGAGTTCGACATCGTGGAGTGCTACCAAAAAAGAGTACTATATAAAATAGAAACGATTACTAAAAAGCGAGGCTAGTTGGGGACTTATAAAAGACTTATGGCAATTCACATAAAAGATCAAGAAGTACAACAAAAGTATCACGAGAACATTACTAGATTAGATAGGAGAGAGTGTTACACCTTGTTGTGTCAATCTTGATGACCGCATAGTTCAACATCGTAGATTACCACCAAAGAAAGAGTGCTATATGAAATGAAAAAGATTACCAAAAAGCAAGGCTAATTGGGAACTTACGGAACCACTTGTGGAAGTTCCAACAAAAGATCGAGTGGTACCACGAAAACACGACGAGAATGTCGCCAGATTAAATGGGGAAAATGCTACATTCTATGAGATCAAAACAAGATTCTAGAGATTAAAAGAGAATGTTAGATAAACTCGAAAGTCTCTAAAAGTCTTTAGGGCTTTAGAGAAGTCTTTAGATCTGTCCGAAAGAAATCTAAACATGTTCTATATGATTTTAAAGAGTGCTTAGACTATTTTAAATTATATATATCTAGAGTGTTTCTTATAAATATCGGGATATGAGAATTTTAAAAAATCAATTGTAGTTTAAATTGATCTTGCTCTTTCATTGAGGAAGTAGAGGCTCATACATATTACCTATCACTCCTACTCAACGAGGCGATTCCAATTTAAAGTCTAAACAAAATTTGTTTGAATGAAATCATAAAAATCTGTATGGTATACACTTTATTTTATTTCTCTAGAATTGTAGTTCAATTGGTTAAAGGACCGTCTTGTTAAGGGGGAAGCTGCGGGTTCGAGCCCCGTTAGTCTTAACAAATCCAATAAAAAGTAATACATCAATTCATCTCTTCATTTTCTATAAAATGGTACAAATAGCAGAATTTCATTCCCAAAGGAGATCCTTATTATTATTTTATATTATTTATTTTTTCCGTCGTAAGGCTCTCATTTTGACTAAAGTATCGGAAAAGTTGTAATCCAAAAATTATAAGCATTTTGAGAAGAATACAAAAACTTTCTATAATATCTCTCAAAGTGTGACTTTCTTACTTTGAAACCGAGTATGAAAGAAAAACTGATTTGGTTCGGTTCCGTTTAAGAAAATTTAAGTTAATTGCCTCGTGTGAAACTTGGAAAAAGGCCAAATCCGTGAAAATAGATAGACCTACGCAAATGCTAAGGATCATTCGTTCATTTGCTTAGCAAGCAAGATATGAAAAGTTTCTGACGGTCTTTGTCAAATGACTAGGAAGTTGCAATTTAAGATGTGCTGTTCACATTGTTCTACGTGTAAACTCAGTTGCACAACTTTTCTATCTTTATTTATCTTGTCTGGCTGTGTCATCCTTCCACACTTTTTTCTTGAACTTTCTCCCTTTATATCTACAATCATATTTTAGCTTGACTGGGAACATGGGGATTTTACATTTTGTAGAGAACAAAATGCATGAAAGCACGGAATATTTTATGCAGGCTCAGCAAATTCTGTCTGCTTTTGTTTCTCGTCTTAGTTCCAAAAATGGACACACAAACCGAGAGGTGGAACCAGGGCCACCCCATGATGCTCTATTTCTGGTTTTAGCTTACCTCGATGTATTTGAACTTCTTGTCATGAATGAAGTTTGCATGCCACTCACAGATGCAGTGAACAAAGATGTATTACCGTGGCGGGATATCATCATTGAAAGGCCTTTGAACTCGAGATTGTCTGATGAGATTCTAGTGCAAATCACTTCGAAGGCGCATGGCAAACTAAGAACTTTGGCTCTCATAAACTGTTTCAAGATCACAGATGATGGGCTTCAAACTGTCATAGAGAAAAATCCTTTAATCAGTAAGGTATGAGTATCAAAATCAGACTTTCTTTTGTTTCTTATATTTCGTTCTTTTGATTTTTGATGATGATTAAATTGATTTTCCTCCACTGCCGTTCTCCTTGGCTTTGCTATTTTGGCGAGAGAGAAAGAGAGAGTTTTGAAACTTGCACAGCTTTTCTAATAACCTATTATCTAGGTGAAGATGGACAAGGATAAGATATGTTTGGTGGGGATTTCATTTTTAGTTATAAAGCAAAAGATGCCTAATCTTATCAATTGTAAATGGATGAACTTGGACGTTGCCTAGAGATAGTTCAAGAATCAGATGGGTGGCTTCCTGAGGTAAGGTAGAATCAAAGTAATTCAACTGAGTTGCATATTTTTGGTCAATGGAACAAGTAAATTGAGTGACTAACTGTAGGTCAAGATGAAATCACATAGGAGGGTTTCTGTTCATACTTTTTTTGCAATTGAAATTGCTTCAATTGATAAATTTACTGTACTCCCAAGTATTTGAAAAATGAGAAGCTGTTGTGAGTGACTTGTATGAATGTAAAGCCTAACACCAGTACTTTCTGCAACATATGTGTGTAAATCACAAAGCACTAACCTCAAGGGTTAGTCCTGATGATCAAAGAGGCTTGTTTCATCTCCTGACTTCTTGAATTCGAGTCTTAAGGCTAGCACTGGCCCATGCAAAAGAATTAATTGGCCAGAGAAAGAATTTAATCTCGGTCGAGAACTACAAAAAACGAAGCACTCTTTTATTTTCCTGAACAGAAAGCATTCGTTTAAATCCATGTTTTTTTGTCTAATGACCCAGCTCCACATACCCGGATGCTCTGGCTTAACCCCTGAGGGAATCATTAGAACTGTAAAGACACTATCCCAACATCATAACAGCTTAAAGAGTCTACAGTTAAACGGTATCTATAACCTAAAGAAAGAACACCTTGTTACAATTTCTTCCCATCTTCAAATGAACCCAGCACAGCAAAAGCCACAGCCTATCCTGTACCATCACCGTAATAGTTCATTAACATCGAGAAACAAAGAAAGTGGCCGCATGATTGATTTGGACATCTGTCCAAAGTGCAATGAAGTAAGAATAGTTTTCGACTGCCCAAGGGAGACCAGCAACAGTGGGAGAGAGCAATCATTCACCCACTGTAGAGGATGCTGCTTTTGTATTCGTAGGTGTGAAGAGTGCGGACGATGTGTGGATGATGAAGAACTGGAGGAGTGTATTTGTTTTGATATTTGTTGTACAGATTGTTGGCTTCGTCTTCCAAAATGTCTTTTTTGCAACAAGGCATACTGTAAGCAACATGAGAATCAGCTGTGCAGTTCTCCAGCCTCTAATGGGTTTCTATGTGACCTTTGTAATGAGAAACTCGAATATTATGGGAAATTAGGGCAGTGATATTCAGCAATATGTTGGCACTGAAGTCATCTGGAGAAATCTTCAAACTTATATGTATCTTACAGTGCCTTGATTATATTTCAGATACATGAATCCATATAGTAGGCATTGGAATGATAGTTCTGATGTCGCTCTCAGCTCCCGTTTCAGTTTTTATCCTACTTAGCAACCCTGTATGCCAATAATTGTCAAAGTTTGATGAGGTTTGAGCACACATTAGCGTCTTCAGAAGAAGAGAGATAGTCTTGATTTACGCACAAATTGATAGTAAAAATATCTCTTATTGTCAAATAAGAAAAGAAAAGAAAAGCAGGGCTAAAACGTGCATTTTTCTTATGAACTTCAGAGCTCTCAACTTTTAAAATCCTCCATTCTGCTCTCTCAAATTTATTTTTGGAAGAACCGTTTGTTTTTAATACACTTCACCATTTAACTAAGTGAAGGCCTAGAACTTAGAAGAATCTGCAGCAAAAGCATTTCAAATTGAACTGCAGGAAACAATGCCGAAAAACAAAAAAATTGTCAACGCTTCCCTGAAAATCGATACACTACCAATCAGAAATTGAAAACATCACAAATCCAGTTCAAAGAATACAAATTCTTCCCTAAGAAAATAGTTACAACTTACAATGATGATCCAGACAGTTGTGTTGCTGGTTTATAAAAAAATCCAATTTCAACAACTCATGTTAGAACTACTCCATGGCTATATGACCAATCAACTTGCCGCCCCTTAACTCCTCTCCAGGAAAACCAAAATTGGGTGTACAGCAAGTTGTCGGACAGCATTAACAACAAATGTTTTGAATGATCCCAATGCTATTCAAGGTTTACAACAGATGCAAATGCACAAAGTTTTACAAGCAAACCATGCTCATTAGTAAAAAACCTATAATCACAGAGGTTGTGAAAGAACCGGCACCATAGTAATATACTGAATTGCAACCAGAAGTCGAAGAATTTGTAGATGGAGCCAGAGAAGTTGCATTTGGGAAAGTGCCATTTCTTCCAGCACTACATTAGCATAGAAAAGCAGAGTGAAGAAATGTCAGCAAACTACTCATGGCAATCAGGCGTACCCAAAACCAGAGCTATTGAGATGCAATAACAAGAAAAGAACACTGGAAATTCCATATGCAATAAGAATTTAGTTCATACCTTCCAGGAAATATACAGGAACCATGACCTGTACAAGTAAAAGAACATTAGAAATTCCATATGCTATAAACAACCAACAAAAACTCTCACATGGAGAACTATCTCTGTTAAATGAAAAAACAACAAAATTCCAATCTAGCAGTTGCGAGAATTAAACAACTTAAAAAGTTTACAGGCCCTGACAGTTATCTTTGCAGTAGAGTAGCTTTTATGCTAGATGAACACCTATTGCAATTAATATCACTAGCCCATTAACGCCCACAAAGTAATTCATATCCCCACTGTATCATAGTTGGATGTTTTCTTCTCAAATTCTATTTTGCTGGGACTATAATTGCTTACTTGGGTCCGTTGTGGTGATGGTAGCCACGCCTTTAAAATCACAAGTACCAGGAGACTTGGCCATCTTCTGGAAATAAGCATTGAAAGCATATGTTGAATGAGCAACAATGTTATCTGGCTCATAACATGGCTGCCCTTGTAACAAGGATGAGCAATCAACCTTTCCTGGTCCACAAGCCCAATCAAGAGCAGCCTGTAGCATCTTCCTGTCAGCACCTTCCTTCGCAACACAAAAAGTTTGGTTTGTGGTGTCATTAGCCAGTACAGTACCGGCACCAGTTAAGTGTAAGGTATAAACAGGCATGCCATTGGCATCAAAAAGCCCCCAGTTCTTTTCGGATGTTGGCCCAGTTCTCAAATCCTCATTATAGAGCTCATAAATATAAGTGCTAACTGCAATCCTAGGATGTTTGGGAGTGCCTGTGTTATTAAGCACATGCCTAATCAAGTTGCTGTTGTAATTGTTAGCATTATCAAGTGTTGCATCTGGCTCAGATGAGTCGCCTTTAGAGGGCCAACCAGACTCGGTCACAAAAATAGGGACGTTGGTAACGTTCAGATAGGTCATTGCAAAATATGCTGCATCAACGATCGCATCAAAAACGTTAGTGTAATGAAGGAGTGTATTAGCATCCACAGCTTCCTTGTTAGGAGGTAGGGGACGGAAAAGGGCATAGTCCAACGGGATCACACCATTTGATTGCATGTAGTCATAGTATGGATATACATTTAGCATAAAGTATGACCCAGTGGACTGCAAAAATTTAAGCAAAGGAACCATGACTGGGTCCCAAGAGCGATTAAAGAAGGCTTGGGAAGGAGGGAACGAGTCAAGGATGATGGAAGAAGAGTGAGGGGTAGAAACTTTAATTTGGCCATCAAGATTGGAAGCAACAAGGGCAGAATGGATAAACTTCAGGGCAGAGACCAGGACTGGGGCAGCATTTGGGAGCGTAGTAAGGATTTCGGATCCAACTGCTATGGCTGTGATGTTGGTAGCAGGGACATGGGCTACTACATTGCGAGCAACCCAATTGGCTGCAGTGGCATTCGATTGACCAATGCCAAGGAGCTGCTCATTGGGAACTGAAACAGTTACACGGATGCCCGTGTTGGCAAGAGAAAGCAGCATGGCTCGGTCTGCATCATAAAGCCTGACATGTCGAATATTCTGAGCCTTAAGAAGGGCTACCACCTGAGTCGGACTAGGCATGTCAGAGAGTGCTGTACCGATGTTCACACCAATGAAGGCATCTGGAAAAGGAGAAAAAAAATAAAGTAATTCAACAGTGGGATTCAGACAAAAAAAAAAAAAAAGTGTCCTTGTTGACAGAAAAGGTTTCATCTTCATCAAACCACTAAAATATCCGGTAACTATACAATGAAATATGAATGCGGACATTGCGAAACTATGTTCAGAAAGAAGATTAATCCTTGGCCTGAGGAAATCTGAAACAAATAAAGGAAGAGAAGCATTTCACATTCAAGAGAAAATAGTCAGGCATGGAAAATAGTTTCTATATGCCCAGTGACAAAGTTTGGCAACTTAAGCTCATTTGACACCAGTCAGGTAGGTATCCATGATCATCAACACATTGTGTGCCTTATTTTTGACCCATACACAATGCATTCAGAATACCAAGTACTAACAGTAAACATGATTACTTAATAATAGAGGCAGAATCAATAAGTAGACCGAAAAGGAATATAAATGCAAATTAATTCCTCTCTACAATGACGGCATCTAGTAATTTACCTTTACCCTTTGATGGTCCTATTCCTAAAAATGGGATCAGATTGGTCCACTAATCCCAATCCAGTTTGGAATCATCATGATAAAATCTCCCATTTTTCTTATTGAGCAAAATTTAAGAAGGCACCACCAAATAATGGGGCCCACACATTCATCTCATGCTAAATCAAGTACATGACTGTTAAAAATGCAGATTGCATTTATCTACTTTGTACAACTATACATCATAACCGCTGATTATCTACATGCAGAAGACATGAAAAGGAATAATTAATACAGACATCATTATTTGTCTTCCTTTGCAGAGCTCACTAAGAGGACAATAACAATTCACATATCTGACCAACTGGGTCTCTAGATCTCTTTTTGTTCGTTTATAACAAAAGACATGCAAAGGATACAAGGAATAGCTACATGGACATTTGTGGCAGGTGGGCAAATAAAGATGAAAACTAACTGATGAACTTTCAAATTCCGGCTCTGGGTCATATATAACGAAATGACTAATCAACAGTCAAAAGTATTATTAAGGGTAAACTACATTTTTTCCCTTGTAGATTCATGAATATTCTACTTCTACCTCCATAGTTTAAAATTTCTCAATGTTACCCCTATAGTATTGAAACGGTTTCAATTTTTGTCCTTTACGATTAAACAACTAACAAAAAGTTTCTTTACAATTCCTCATACAGATTATAGTATCTCAAAGAAAACTTAAAACATAAATGAATCTCAAAAATCAAATTCAAAAAGGAGACTGTTCAATGGTAAAATGGGCAACAACGACAGCTTTAGAAAACTAGAAGGATAAAATTGGAAAACTTTAAACTATAAGGGTAGAAGAACAACACTGATGAATCTATGAGGGCAAAAATGAAGTTTAATCCTATGATGAAACCACATGAAATTACAGTTTTATCCTTTCCATAGTATAGCATTACATTTCAATGTTGGTTCTGTCTAGTATGGACTGTGCCATTGTTAACCTTAGAAGCAAACTCTTCCAATACATCTAAGGTACAATATTTAAGATACTATTACTCTAGAACTTAGATATAGGTGAACGAACTCCAATCAGGAAAATATTGGTTTATAAGTAACATGTTATTTGAGGTGGGTTCCATAATGTGTTGAGTCACTCACATTCTGAACATCTGATGTGCATTCACTACAGACAAGGTCATTTTGAGCTTGCTGCTACTTCTTTGAAGAATGGGAGAGATGCTGGTTCCTACTTTTAAACTATAAAATAATAAACAGTGTCTAGTAAATAAATGACACGTCACACAATTTATGTTGGACAGCCTCCCTAACTCTGACCATGGTTTTAAGCCTTGCACTTAACTAATAAACCATCATTAACCACAATGTTTTACAGGTAAACAAAAATCTCTAAGATATTGAAGGGGTATAGACATCATATCAGAGAAAATAGGCAGGTTTTTACAATTTAATTCTTGAATAGCCTGACCATCATATCTACAATGAGGATGCACTTCTATAATAAAAGAGCTCTAAGCATGAATTAAACAACCGGAGGAGGTGATGATGATGATATCCACTGGGGGGTATACAATGCTGTAGTGGAATACATATATGCAACAGGCTGTTGTACGAGCAGCAAAATGACAACAATAGCCTTGGAAAGATTTCTAGGATTCCATTTCATTCAATACTGGATGCTTTTGCATCCTCAAGCTAAGGGTATTTTGGTCTTACAGCGTATTTAATAGAAATGTATCACAGAATCTTCTGGTTAAAGGACTGCCACATGAGCTGTGAAGCAATATGGTTGAGATTCCCCATTAAAAGAGAGGGTAGAGAAGAGATCAGAGGTTTGTGACATAGGGAAAGATTTTTATGCAGAGGATTCTGCTTTGATAGCAACAGATTAGAGTATGACCAAATGAAAAGAAGATTTTTCAACATGCATGCCATTCATGAGAAAAAGACCTGTAATAAAGTCGAACAAAATTGTGACTTTAAAATTATTAAAAAAAAAAAAAAAACCGCACACTGCTGTTTTTTTAGCGTACTTATTGACTAATTAGTATAACCCGCTAATTAAACCAAATACCACCTGTTTTATTGGGAAATTAATTATAGTGCCTAATCCTATCTTCCTGTTCAAACTAATCACTGAACACCAAGTTTGTCAAATAATAATACTACCACTAACATTGAGAGAGATAACCGAAAAACTGCAAAAAATCAACAAAATAAGATAGAACACTCAGCAAAGGCACACGCAAACTTAAATGGAGAACTACAAGAAAGCAGACAGCTTGAAATGAAAGGGAACTCGAAGTGAACAGAGAGAGAAAGCAAAAGGGTAGAATAGAATGGCAACTAATGCCTACAAATCATTGTTTCAAGAATAAAAATGAATTAATATAATCTAGCGAAGAGCACTGAGCTGCAGCGAATAATAAGAAACGAGTATGAAACTAAAATAAACCAACAAATTGGAGAATCAATTTAAGAAAAAGCAATAAAACCATGGAAGCACAAAGAAAGAAGCTTACCTTCATTAGCAGAAACCGCAGACGCTGTCAATAAGAAGAGCAGAAGCAGCACAGCCATTGATTCTTCAGTCACGAATTAAATCTTTTATATATTGAGATAAACATAAAAACCCAGAAAGGAAATCTATTAGAAGACCACACCCAAACACACTAGAAGGAAACCAAAAAGAGTCCGCAGAGAGAAAGTAGAGAGAGAAAAGTTTGCTGCTTTTGAGGTCTCTCTCTACTGTGGAAATGTTTTTGAACAAAGATGGGCTTAGTTAAGGAATATTTTAGTTTAGTTAAGTTTAGTTGTTGTGTAGTCAAGAGACAGAGCGTGTGGGCAGGGATTTCGGCAATTTCTACAATGCCTTTGGAATTGACCTTATAATGCCGTCCTGGGATTGGAATGGTTTCTTTTCTTTTAATAATCATTTCAATTTTTTTTAATAGATATATTACCTTGACAGCTTAATTGTAAGGTCTAGAAATCAAATATATCTTTTTTTTTTTCAAAGTGATGATTAAAATTAAAATTTTTTTAATGAAATTCATCTTTTGAGTTAACTTGGTATATTTCGTGAAAGATAATTTTTTAAAATATGTTAATAAAAAGAAAGAAAGAAAATAACAACTATTAGGAATTTCTTTCTTTTGTTGTCCTTTGGAAAAACTAAAATCACCGTATGGCAACATGTTTAGTCGCACTGGTTTTGATTATGTAAAGTGTCAGAGACTGGAGGGCTGAGATGGAATGAAGGTACATGGTAAACAGTGAGGATACCATAGGGGAGAACAACTTTGTTTAAAAGAGATTAGAGAGAGGTGTATCTGCAGGCTTTTTCATGCAAGGGGAGCTTCACGGTCTACGAGGACAGTTCCAGAGCTGACGTGGATGTAGAGCTGGAATCAATCAACGGTCATATTCTGAGAAGAACATGCGACCTTTTCTTTAATATTGATATTATATATTGGATTCGTGTAGGCTCGTTTTGTTTTTTTATATCATCTTTGTTCTGGAAGGAGGTTGTCCCCACGAGGGAAGTGTCGAGATTTATGGTTCTGTGTGGTAATAAAGAATCGAATAACATCAATGAAAATAAAAGTACTGATTTCATTTTATAGGTATTTAGTTTAAAAAAAATAAAATGGATATAAAAATAAAAAAATGAGAATAAAAATAAAGTTAAATATAATTTTATAAAATAAAAATAAAAATAAAAATTTTTATTTAAAAAATAATATATTATTTTTATTTATTTTATATTAATTATTTCTACTTGTTATTGTTATTTCTACTAATAACGATGATGATGATATTTTTCCTTCAAAAATGATATTATTATTATCATTTTATCACTATTCTTTTACAATCACTGTCACTTTCTCTACTAATGCTATCACTACACTAATGTTGTCACTGTGATTAGCGGTGATAATGTTATTTTTTCCATCAAAATTTATTATTATTTCACCACTATTTTTCTTGTTTCACCGTTACCTTTCATGATGGTGGCATTAATTTTTAAAAAATATAGAATAAATTACTATAAACATCTTGTGGTTTGATGATGAAAACATTTTATATTTTATATTTTCATAAATTATATGTTACATCTTAAATATTTGACAATGAACTTTCATACAATAATAGGTAAAAAAAACTAAAATATACTCATATATATATAAATGAACCTCAACTGCTAGCTAAACACTATCCTCACCCAACTCTCTCTCTCTCTCTCTTCTCTTGTTCGTCTCTCTCTCTTCAAAGAGAGATAAGGCTTAAAAAACTAAAATTTCGAAACAAAATCTCTTGTTTTCTTTGATCTTTGGTTGACTTAAGATTATTGTGAGTGTTTGACGTCTATTGAAAGAGTAATCAAAGCTTTACACAAAGCATATGAAATTCTAACCTCCAATGTATGAATTTTTAAAACAAAAATAGCATTAATGCATAAAGTATTTTGATTAACTTTATATTTATAGAATCTCGAGCAAAATTTCTAAAAACTAACGTGTTTTCAAGGTTTTTTAAGCTATATTTTAAAATTCTAAAAAAAACTAATTGTTTAATGTTGATTTTCTTTTTTCAAAATTGATTGTTTATCTTGTTGTTGGTGGTTTCAAACAAAACTCATAAAAAATATTTTGTTTTAAAAGTTTTTCAAGCAATATTTGAAAACTTTAGTGGCTATTAAACATTATTCATGGTTGGATTCCTCTACGATTTTAGTTATTTGTTGTAGAAATTGTATCGTGTAAGAATTAAGTAATCAAGTATGTATAATTTTTGTATGGAGTGCTTTGTGAACCCAAACTATTTATGAACTAGAATTTGCAATTCCTATTTAGAAGATCTAAAGTGGAAAATGGTGTAATTTTCTTATTATAACAAATTATATTTTTTTTGCAAAGAAGGTCTCTATCAATTTTAACACTAGTAAAGGGTAAAATACCATTAAAAAAAAAAAGATGAAGTATGGATTAGATACTCAATTCAATCATATTAACCATACCTAACTCCTTTTATGAGGAAATAATTATGTATTTTAAGTCTATTGGCTAATATTTTAAAGTCTCGTGAAGATGTGTAAAAGGGCGAGGCCAACCACTATTTGATGATATGAGGATGGTTATAATCATGACAATAAAAGAAATAATTATAAGAGGATTCAACCACTTAAGAAAATTTTATTTGCCTATCCTTCTTTGCTTTCCTTATAAGTTGATAAGAGAATTCGTTCAATGTATAATGTTATCAATGTTTTGAAGTCAATGGACTTGATTAAAAGAGACAAGAAAACTCTTAATTTACTAATAGTAAGCTAGTAGAAATTTTGGGAGAATGATGTCATTAAGTATACGAATGATGTACACTGGTTTATTGAAGGAGTATATAGGCACCACTAACATGAAGAAGTGAGACACTTGATGACAAAAGATATAAGTTCATTTGTATTACAATACAACATGTAATGTTTTAGTATGTTCTTGAATTATAACTAGTTTTTGTTTGTCCAGTTTATATTTTTCAAATGCGGTGTTTACTTTATCTTTTCACATATCATTATTTTAGCTTATCAATTTTTTCTTTTCTTTCTTTTGCTAATTCTTTTGTTTTTAACTTAATTGTTGAGCTTTCTCATATCAAATATTGAATTGGTGTGAATTGCACTAATTACTTCCATTGATGAATATATATATATACGAGAGAGAGATAGAGAGAGAGAGAGAGAGAGAGAGAGACACACACACACACACACACACACACACACTAGTGAAATTAGTAAAAAGCTAATGTCCTAAGATCATATATCGATGATTACAAATTCAAATTTAAATTAATTATTATATTTGAATTTGTAATTTATAATTCAAATAATATGAATTTGAATAACTAATCAAAATTCAAATCAATGGAATAGAAATTCAAATCAATGATAGTTATCATCTATCATCTAATATACTCTAGATAGGCCACAAGAAGAGAGACCAATCTTGACTTTAAAAGACTAAGATTGAGAATGAGGCAATGGCCTTAGTAAGAGCATTAGCAAGTTGATCGGTAGCGAAAACAAGAGATACACGAAGGGCATCCTTTTGGACTCGATCTCGAATGAAATGAAAATCAATGGCAAATGTTTCATATAGGAGTGGAACACGGGATTGACGCATAAATGAGTAACACCGACATTATCACAATAAATGACAAGAGGTGTAGAAATAGCAAGTTAGAGATTAGACAGTAAAAAACATACCTAATTTAGTTAAATGGCACCGATAATAATAGTGCAATATTCGAGCTTTCATGGAGGAGTGACCAATAATTTTTTGTTTATTCGGATGGCAATTATGTTGGTCGGGAAGCCGGTTGAGGAGTGAGTTGGGTTGTGATGAATGGTCATTATATGATGGCAATTCTTGAAAGCGTACCTCATATAGAAATGGCGATGCTAACTATAAAGTACTTAAAAGAGGAACGATGAGAATTGGAGGTACCCGTGTGTCAATAATGGTAGCTTCGGTTATAAGTAAATGAGAATTGAGTGATGTATAAGGAAAAAACGACTCTAAAAATTGAACATGATGAGAAACATAGATTTTGTTTGTGGATGGATCAAAACATAAATATGTAATTTGAAATAATGAATACCCAATGAAGGCACAAGATTTTGATCGTTGATCAAATTTGTGAGACGAGTAGGATCGAAGTCAAGGATAACACATAATCCAAAAATCTTAAGTTTGGAGTAACTAAGAGTTGTACCAAAAATTAATTCACAAAAAAAGAATAGATTAAGTGTCGTGGTAGGAATTCTATTAATCTAAAATATAGTAGTAATAAATGCATTGGACCAAAAAGTTAAGGAAAGTGAAGCATGAACGATTAATGTCAAGCCGAGTTTCAAATATGTGGCAATGTTGTCTTTCAAAATATCCATTATGTTCGGGTGTACGAAGTGGGATTGTGAGATGAGAAATGTCATGTGTTGCTAAATAATCTTTTAGAGCCATATATTCATCCTTGTTATTTGAATAAAAGGTAATAATTTTATGTTTAAAGTAATTTTTTACAATATCTTAGAAGCGAATAAAAATGTTTTTAACGTTAAATTTTTGCTTTAATCGAGTAAAACCATATATATTTGGTATAATGGTCCATAAAAACTACAAAATATTTGAAGTCACCATGTGGTATCAAGAGAAATTCAAACATATAAAGAGATTGTTCTTAGAGGTTAGGAGGAGACAAGAGATGCGGTGAAAAATGATGACTTGTGACTTTTATTATACTAGCATGTATTGTATGAAAAATCTTAGAGATAGGCAATGAGACATCCAAATTATAAGCTGAAATAATATATTTTAAAATATGAAGAGCTAGGAGAGCTAAATGATGATGCTAGTTAATGAATGTGGCTTTAATACTAGAAAAGGTAAGAAATAGAGAAGATATCAACTTTGCAATCGATCATTCATGCACTTCATTCTTAGTGCTTGCCTCTACAAAAGAATTTCCCTCGTATGAAAATTCTTCATCCGAAATGACATTGGTAAGAATTCAATAGATAAATTGTTGGTTGTGTAAAATTAAAAAATTGAGATTAAGTTTATTTTCATGTTTGGGACACAAAGTATTTCGTGTAAGGTAAAGATAGTTTTGGGAGTGGGATGAGATGTAAAACCAATATAATTGTTTGAAAGATCCATTCCATGCCCGATCATAATGCCATCGAACCATTATAAGGTGCATGCAATAATAAGTTCCTCAAGTCTACTATGACATTATAAGAGGCACTACCATCAAGTAACCATTTTTGGTTGCCGAGTCAACATTAGAAGTGAAGTGTGCCCAAGGCTACAAAGTGTTGTTGAAGTGTTAGGTGATGGAGCATATCTTGTTTTTTATGACAAAATTGACACCAATTAGAATGATGGACAATGTTTAGTCACGTGTCCTTGAATACCTCAAACGTAACAACAACCTAAGTATGGACATCATGGACGGTTGTTATAAGGTGAAGTTCCTAAGTTGTTGGACATTGATCGGCGAACGATGGAGTTGGGTGACCAATTATTGTTGAACCTTTGAGTGTGAGATGAATTACTAGGGAGTGGGTGCTCTAGTTATTATTGGAGTGTTATAGACACTAGTGTGAGTTTATCTTGTTGGTTGGGTTGGTTGTGATTGAGAAATGGATGGTTATTTTTCCTTCAATAAAAGCCTAAAAAATTAAAAGTTTCTCATAAAGTTCATCAAATGAGGTGAGACTATCACGTGCTTGAATAATACGAGTCGATTCTTTATAGTCATCTCTTATTTCTTCTAGAATTTTATCAAGAAAGTCTTCTTCATCCATTGGTGCACCAAGTATGGTGAGTTTATCCGCACGAGCTTTAACAGAGTGAAAAAATCGGTGATAATTAGAGTATATTTGGTGAAATTTTTTAGAGTTATTTTGAGTTGTTTGATGCAGTCTCTTGATGGTTTAGCGTAAGTGTTGGCTAATATTGTCCATGCTTCATGTGATGTTTTAACTATGCAATAAATTGTATAATGATTAGGAGAAATAGAGTTAAAAAAAAAGTATTGAGTATGAGCTAATCCTACCGAACCTCCATGTTGTAAGTTGGATTTGGTATTGCAGTATTGTTCACAATGATTGTAGCTAGTAGGCGGGGTTTTAAGCCATTGATATACTCAATAAGATTAAATTTGATGAATAAAGTTTGGAATTAAAGTTTTCGGGAGACATAATTGTTAGTGGTAAGTTTAAAGGAAGCTTATGGAACAATATTCATGGTGATGAGTTGATATTCGTACTTTGAATTAGACGTGTTTTCGAGTGGCCATTCTAAAAAACAGGAATAAAAATTATTTAATTGGACGAGTAGGGAGAGAAGAATGCTCGATACCATGATAAAAATTTAATTGGTGTGAATTGCTCTAATTACTTTCATTGATAAAAATATACAATATATGTACTTGTAAATTAGTGAGAAGTTAATCTCCTAATACCATTTGTCAATTATTATAAATTCAAATTTAAATTACAAATTAAAATTCAAATTAACGGTTACATTTGAATTATCATTTATTTAAATTTATAATTTGTAATTTAAATCATTTGAATTTGAATTACAAATCAAAATTCAAATTTATGAATTACAATTTCAAATCAATGATAATTATCATCTATCATCTAATATCTCCTACATTAGTATGATGATGAAATGGACGAGAGCAATTCATGATTCATGTATTCCTTATTGGAATATCATTAGTCATTTAACTCAATTGCAAAATCAAGTAAGAAGAAGAAGAAAATAGATATTTATGTACCTCTATTTAGCTCCTTCATTATCGTAGGATACAAATATTTGTTGCGGCTAACTTTTTTTTCTTTTTTCTTTTGATAATCGTTGAGTTCTGCTACAATATAACTCGGTTCTTTTTGGGATATAATAGGATAGGCATTTTGCTCTTCCATTCATCTATTTTTTTCAAGGCATAAATTCTATCAAATGAAATTTTGACCATTATAAAATTTTAATGACCAATTACAAAAGTTTAATGACAAACTTATAATAATTTAAATGTTTTTTTAGGCAAAAACTTGTTTTTATTAACAAAATCAAAATACATAGTGTTTTTTTAAAATAATACTTTGATAGATGGAGTGCAAAACATAATTTATGAAAAGTGAATGTGCAAAATAATCTTGTGCTCAAACTATAGAATGTTTAAAGTATCTTACGGTAAAATATATAATTGTTATTACTATGCTATTGTTAAGGATGTTCGTTCGGCTTTTTAGTTCGATTTTAAAGTATTTCGATTTGGTTTTCAATTAACTAAATTTTTAAAATGAAAAGCAAAATCGAACCAAAATGTTATTTGGTATTTCGATTAAAAAACTAAATTTCAGTTTTGGTTTATGACAACTTGGTTTTTAATTGATTCTTTTTTTTAATTTAAAAAAAATAAATATAAACTCGATGTATATTAATTATTACTAACGAGTTTGGTTGATGCAAATCCATGGTCGGTAGCTATTATAAATCTAAGGTCACAAATTCAAGTTACCAACAACCTTAGGTAATGTGTAAGAACTTCTCAAAATTTCCACTCTAATTTTTAATTCAAGTAATAGAATACTATAAAATTTGAGCATATTTGAGTTAACAAGCATTGTAGTTTATTAATCTTTTTCCAATATTAAGTGGCTAAAAAGAGGTAAAGGGCTTAATTCGATAAAAATATAATCGTGTTGACATCAAAATTTAAGTTTTGAGTTTAAAGCTGTGGCATAGGGTTGAGAATGGTATCATTTAGGAAAACGAAGGGACTCGGTCCATAAAATTATGCATGTGTATATACTATCAACTCCCTCAAAAAGAATTTCTTCCATACCTTTTAACTCGCCTCTAGTTACTTGAAAGTCTGGATCCTTTTGGAATGATACGAACATAGAGAACCATGCTCACCGGTGACAATCACATAACCTCGTTTCATGTGCAAATTTTTCCACATCCGGATCCCGATATCTTGGAAATATTGAGAAAAACATAGTTAGTAAAACCCACATCATTAATTTCTCCATTATAGCTTCGTTAACTTGACTTGGATTTTTGCCTTTATTTGGGATTTTCATTTGTCCAATGCTATATCTCGGGTTAATGGCTAAGGGCTATTTGAGGAGGAGGGAGAGGTGGTCGAGTGTTGCTATGATGAAGGAAGATTGTTGAGTTGGTAGTGGTTGAGCCATTAAGGAGGGAGGTGTGAGTCTGTATAAGTTGTTGTCTATTACTTGTCTTAGCTCTTAGGGATTGAGAAGTTTTGCTTCGGGTTTTTATTTGGGAATTGAGACTACCGAGTGAGTAGGGTTAAAACTTTCATCTAAATAACACACACACACATATTGATATTTTGGTTTGATTCGATTCAATTATTCAATTTTAACTCGAATCCCTAGCTATTGTTATTATCACCACTTTTTCCTCCCTATCCTCCACCGTCATCTCTATGATCACTTTTATCATTTTTAATATTGTCACTATTGGTGAAATCATTCTTTTGATCATTTTTTTCTTCGTTTTAAAAATTTTA